AGCTGGTTGCGATAACCACAACGGGTGGGCTGCGTGGTTGCCAACATCCGTCTGGAGGAGGAGTCACGACCGCCAGCGGAACGTAAAATGTACGGACAAAAGCTGATACGATGCCCAACCACAGCCGTTGTCCAAAACCGACAGCGGCCGCTGTTGGGCACGCGGCCTTCTGCCTCAGACGGGCAGCGTCCGCGGCGAGACCGGCAACGAGTCCTGTTCCAGACGGCTGGAGACTCTGCCGGTTGCTGCACCCATGGTTTCAATATAGGGAGACTCTTCATGGGGGGGGGATCCCATGCAGGAGAGCCCAGAATCGAATCGATAAATCGGATCGGCAATCGGCATGAATCGGATTGGCGGAAATCGGCAGCCGAATCGGGAAAAGTCGAATCGGCGGAAATCGGCAGGCTAGTATGCCTCCAATAAGAAATCGGAGCCCAAATCGGAATCCCAAGTCGAATCGAATCGGAATCGGAAGCCATCGAAATTGATTCGAATCGAATCGGAGGAATCGAAATGACCCCTGCCCATGGGGGGATAGGATCCCAGGGGGGGGGGATCCCATAGGATCCCCTGGGGATCCCGTGGAGAGTCTCCCGGCAATGCCCGTTTCGATCGTTCCGGAGGAGCGGGCCGGCCCGTCGATGGGGCCCGCGTGAGCTTCGGGCACCGACGAGCCGCCAGGCTGCCGAACAAACCCTGCGAGAGCGGCGCCCCTGCCAAAACAACCCTTTTTGGAATCCCGTCGGGCCCAGCCCCAGCGCGGTGCGGTGCACTGTTTCGCGGCCCCGAGGGCCGAAACGGCTATGCACCGTACCGCTCTTGGGTCGAGGCTCGACGGCGCCTCGGGCAAGGCCGGCGCGGTGCGGTGCATACAAGTCGTCCGCGGTACCCCCTCGCCCGCCCCCCTCCGGAGACGAGCTCAGGACCAGGGAAACATCGGACCGGAACGGATCGGGCCGAAACACCTGTGCACTGCACCATCCCTGACTGCCTACCAGGCCACCCCAACCCAACCCGAAGACCCGAATTTCGGGTTGGGGGGGGTAAGGGTTCCACATGTGTTTTTTCGATATTTCCCGGACCCCCCCCCCACTGGAAATCGAGGGTAAATCTGAGCCTTCGGGTTGGGTTGGGGTGGTTTGGTGGGTGGTGAATTCCTGGGTCGACGATTGATGACGCCTCGGGCGAGGCCAGCGCGAGGAAACCGACTATGACGGACGATAGAAGGCGCTCCGTGGGGCATGGCGAAGTCGCGAAGCGGCGCGCATGAACCCCAGCAGGCGGTCCAGGCCGGGCACTGACTCGGCGGCCCACGGCCTGCCTCGAGCGGGGTGGGCGCCGACGTTGCGCTGACGACACCGACGCCGCCGCCGCCGCCGCCGACGACGACGAGTCGCCGTTTCTTCGGGCGAGGAGGGGGAGGCGAGGGAGGGGGGGAAGAGCGGGAAGGCAGGGGGGAGCGGATGGATTGGGAATGGGAGGGGGAGGAGGAGGGGGGGAGGAGGACTGGACTGGACTGGACTGGAACTCTGAGAATCCAACTGATCGCTCAACCCACTGCGCCTGGTTTTGCAAGCAACGCAGCCGAGCATTCGCAAGGAGTCTGAGACGCCCTGTGTGCCACTACCTGACGGTCAGTCCCAAGCACCGCTCTCTGCCGAGCAGCAGTGGCCCTGGCCTCACACCAGCACTCGGGCACGCAGCCTTGCTGGGTGGGCTCTCAGGTGCGGGACGAGATCCCCCTTCCCCGGCCCCCTGACACCCGACCCCGACCACTGGACGACGGCCGCCCCCTCCCCCTACTAAGGCCTCTCAGCTAATGCGGAAGAGCTGCGACTGGTACGATTGGCAGCTCCGCCTGTGGTAGCTAAGCACCGCGCGCGCACTCCCAGAAAGAACTGTCAGGGCCTTCCCAAGTGCATTCTGATTTACGATGCTTCTCTCCACGAGCTGTCTGAATATGAAACTGGATTGCATACTACTCACTTGTGACCGCTCCCGATCAATGACGATACTTCGTGATCGAGTGGCTCCCGCGGGGCTGGCTCTGGCAGGCAGGCCTCGCCCTCCGCGAACACGAGCCGCTCGATCAGCCCCGCCATCTTCAGGCCAAGCGGCGTGTCCCGACGGAACTCATGAAGATCGCGCCCTTCGGCGGGCTGCCCTCCTCCATGCGGAAGGTCTTCGGGCGAAAGTAGGGGCACGCCCTCGCCACCTGCGTCATCTCACTCTTCGCGATCAGCCCCCACAGCTCCACCATCTGCTTCTTGCGCGTCTCATCCGCCACCTGCTTCTCCCCCGCCGACGGCGTGAACGTCGCTCCTTAGTGCGCGGCTGGTTCAATCCAGAGGAACTTTGATTTCAATCCCAAGATTATCCCCGCATTCATTAAAGAACAATTAATATGGATTATGCGGGGAATCTTGGAGATGAATTCATAAGACTCTGGATTGTGTCCCAGCACTGGCGGTTAGACTCGTGAAAAGATGAGTGTTATCCTGACCAGGCGTTCATCGTCTAAGAGCTCTTGAAGGAGCGATTGAACGCCTGTCATGGACACGTGCGGCGGGCTTCTCTGGCTGAAGTCCACCTTGTCGCCGTTCTTGCTGCGCTCCCTCAAAGCTCGCAAGCCCCGCGCCGTGCTCTCGCCCTGCTGTCCGGCACGCTGCCGCCAGTCCTCCTGATGCCAACACTTCGCATGCCAGGAGCATCGCGGACGAGACGGCGGCGAACCCTCGAGAAATTGCCAATACGAGCTGCAGCCACTCCTGCTTGCCACCGCCTGTGGACGCGCGATCGCCCACGCCGCTCTTATTCACGCGGTCGTTGCCGTTGCTCTCTCCCTCGGCCTCGCGCTTGCCTGGCTCCTGGAGCCGCGAATGCATCTCCAACATCGGTGCGACGGAGCCCGCGATAAAGCGCCGCCCAGAAACTCGGGCATCACCGTGAGGCGTCGGTGGCTGGAAAGGGAGGCGACCACACAGGTGGTCGCACAAGCGTAAACAAAATCGGACCCTCGCGCGGACATAAGGGGCAGGACAGCGCAACCGGAGTCGACGCAGATTTGAATGCTGAAGGCCCCCTGGTCTCACAACTTACCCTGGCCAGTGGCTCTTGTAAATGGCGGGCCGCGTTGGATCTGCTTCCAAACACTTGCTTGCAAGTAGCGCAGACGTTACTAGGGGCAACCTGGTGGCATAAGCTATGGAGACCATGTGCCCGACGGAGGTGGTTCATCAGATCCCGCCCAGTACAGAAGGTCGCCGTACATAGGTGACCTGTCTCCAAAGGCATCCCGCAATTCAGCTTGTTAACGCCCCTCCTCCTCCTTGCGTTTTCCATCGTCATATGTTTGCCCCTCCTAATCGGGGCCACCGTCCATGGTTCTCCGACAGCCTGGTGGAGGCACCCTTCTATGATATACCCTAGCCTTGAGTTCCGAAAAATTCAGCGAGACAAACTCCAAGGCCCTCTCCGAATCCCGCACAATCCGAAGGTCATCGACCAAATCGTCCAAAGCACAACTATCCATAACCGCGGCCGCCTTTTCGATGTCAGTGTGCGACTGCCGTGCCCACGGAAAGGCGAAACCAATCGGGCGGCCATCGTTCAACTGCGGCCGATCCACGTCCATGGGGGTCGAACTGGACAGGCAACACAAGACCTGGGAATTGTGGGTTGGGTCCTTCGCCCAAGACTGATACATCGCCAGGCGCCTCGTACGCAGCTCGATCGTACCAGGTGGAAGACGCCAATCTGCCAGCATCTGCTCCGTTGTAAGACCACGAACATGATCAGGCGAACCCTCCTCGACCCATGAGAGCAACGCGACCAAGGGCGGCGAGTCCACGATCGAGGCGAGAATAGCCGCTAGCCGCCAGCATGCAACACCAGTAATTCAAGGCCACTAAGCAACGCGTCTTACCGAACCCCGTCAACAGTAAACGTTTCCAACGATATGTAAAGCAAACTTGCCGACTTCCGCCGAGGCTGTGAAACGATACGCGAGAGGCCTGAAGTCGTCGAGTAATCTCGTGGGCTGCCGATCCACGCAACGCAAGGAACGGTCCCGAGTACCTTGCCTCGTCCTTGCACGAGCCCTGAAGCGGTTGGGTGGAGCATGGAAGCGACGACAAATATGACCATGCTGACTGAACTGAAAGGGGAACTCCTGCTTACTGGCGTTCTGGCCGTGCCCAAACAAAGCAAAACTATCATTCAGAGAACCATCGACCGACTGCCACTTGGCCATACATTTCCCAAAACTACTGCCCTCACCAGCCGGGAGGAGGAGGAGGAGGAAACGGAGGAGGAAAAAGAGGAGGAGGAGGAAGAGGAGGAGGAGGACAAGGGAACGATGAGTTGGATTGGTGGGGGAAACGTGTGGGGGGAGGGGAGACAGGGGAGGAGGGTGGGGAATGAGGAGGAGGATGAGAGGGGGTGGAGGAGGAGGAGGAGGAGGAGGAGGAGGACGAGGAGGAGGACCAGGAGGAGGAGGAGGAGGAGGAGGAGGAGGAGGAGGAGGAGGACCAGGAGGAGGAGGAGGAGGAGGAGGAGGAGGAGGAGGAGGAGGAGGAGGAGTATTTTGTACGCTGCAGGTGGATTCTGTGCCAGAAGCGTTGCAGTTTCCTCTGAAGGGGTGTGGGGTGGGGAGTTTACTAACTGCTTCACAGGGTTGATTCCTCTTGATGGGCAGCATTTGCTCCAGTGGCCCGACGGTTTAGCAAAAGACGAGGTTCCTCATAATTGCAGCGCGTCGCCGCCAGCTTCGCCTCTCCCCCGCCACCTCCCTCGACGCCCCCTTGCGATGTGGAGTCGTGGGACGGGGGTCATCGCCATCGTTCCACGACGCTGTTGCAAGTTGGGCCTTTCTTCAAATGAATTTGCCGTCAGGCGCGGCATGATCCGGGCTACATTACCCAACAGCGAAGACTGATAGGTTTCTAGTGGGCTCAAAAGAAATCATCATGACTCCCCAAGGGGGTCTGGGCAGATGCCGGACGGGTACCGGGGAAAACCGGGGACTCCCCATTTTCATTGCCAGGGGCCACATTTTGACTGCCCGGAGCCAACAGAACACCACTCCCAAGCCACATTTTGAATGCCCAGAGCCAACTGTAAGCCACTTCGTGTTCTTCGTGCTCCCAGAACACCATTCCAAGGCCACATTTTGAATGCCCGGAGCCAGCTGTAGGCCACTTCGTGTTCTTCGTGTTCCCAGAACACCATTCCCAGGCGACATTTTGAATGCCCGGAGCCAACTGCAGACCACTTCGTGTTCTCCGTGTTCCCAGAACACCATTCCCAAGCTAATTTTGAATACCCGGAGCCAACTGTAGGCCACTTCGTGTTCTTCGTGCTCCCAGAACACCATTCATGCACCATATTTTGATTGCCCGGAGCCAACTGTGGGTCACTTCGTGATCTCCGTGTTCCCAGAACACCAGTCCTGTGCCATGTTTTGAAGGCTGCCGAGGCTGAGGCTGAGGCAGGCTGAGGCTGAGGCCTGAGGCAGGCTGAGGCAGAGGCAGGCTGAGGCTGAGGCACGCAGGCGAGGCAGGCTGAGGCTGAGGCTGAGGCAGGCTGAGGCTGAGGCTGAGGCTGAGGCTGCAGGCTGCAGGCTGAGGCTGAGGCGAGGCTGAGGCTGAGGCTGAGGCTGCAGGCAGGCTGAGGCTGAGGCAGGCTGAGGCTGCAGGCTGCGCCAGGCTGAGGCTGAGGCTGAGGCCGAGGCAGGCTGAGGCTGAGGCCGAGGCAAGCCGAGGCAGGCTGAGGCTGAGGCTGAGGCTGATGCTGAGGCAGGCTGAGGCTGAGGCCGAGGCAAGCCGAGACAGGCTGAGGCTGAGGCTGAGGCAGGCTGAGGCTGAGGCAGGCTGAGGATGAGGCCGAGGCAGGCTCAGGCCGAGACATGCTGAGGCTGAGACTGAGGCTGAGGCTGAGGATGAGGCCGAGGCAGGCCGAAGCTGAGACAAGGTGAGGCTGAATGGGGGGGGGGGGAAGGGGGGGGGGGGAGGAGGGGAGGCTGAGGCAGGCTGAGGCCGAGGCAGGCTGAGGCCGAGGCAGGCTGAGGCTGAGGCTGAGGCAAGAGGCCTGAGGCTGAGGCAGGCTGAGGCTGAGGCTGACGCAGGCTGAGGCCGAGGCAGGCTGAGGCTGAGGCTGAGGCAGGCTGAGGCTGAGGCCGAGGCAGGCTGAGGCTGAGGCTGAGGCAAGCCGAGGCAGGCTGAGGCTGAGGCTGAAACCGAGGCAGGTTGAGGCATCCGTAGGAATCCATAGGAATCCTTAGGAATCCGTAGGCATCCTTAGGAATCCTCAGGAGTCCTGAGGCATCCGTAGGCATCCGTAGGCATCCTTAGGAATCCTAGGAATCCGTAGGCATAGTTAAGCATCCTCAGGAATTCTTAGGAATCCTTAGGATTCCATGGGATCCTGAGGCCGTTGCCACTGCGACTGTCATTGCGAATGCGACTGCGACTGCGAGAACATCAGAATTCTACAACTGGATTCTCACCTGACTCTTAAGGGGAATGCTTCCAGATATGCTTATACACATCGCTGTTAGGTTGCTTTGCCGGGATACTTGTTTTTGCATGCGCGTCGCGCAGAAGCTACCAAAGAGGGGCGAGTTGGCTAACACCGAGGGTGGCTCTAAGCAACGACCGCTGCACGAGCAAAATAGACATACCTTCAGCGCGAGCGAACGTGCCTTTTCCTCATTTCTGGCCTCATTTCGCACCATCGTCTCGCGTGCTGTGTGTTTGCCTTGCTCTTCCATCTCCCCTGGTACTCCCACTCGCCCCTACTGGTGAAACAAGAAGGTACCGAGGACTGCTACTCCACCGACCTCCCCCAAGGTGCATTTTGACTTGGATTTCGAGGCAAGTCCAGCGGGGGCGACGAGGGCCTCCCAGGACGCCCGAAAAAGGCGAACACGAGGCAATCGTAGTGGTAATTTCGGGTACCTTCCTCTGACCTTTGCCTCCTTCTCCACTCCTACTATCTAGCCTCATTTCGCACCAACTCGCGTGCTGTATGGTTGCTCCGCTCATCCACCTCCCCTGGTACTCCCACCAGCTCTTACCCTCGCGAGCCGCCCAGCTGCTTGCCAGCCTTTCACGTTGGCGCGGATCTGGGCAATGTTCGCCTCTCGGCGCCACTGGAGCATCCGCCGGAACTGGGCTGCAGCATCCTCGACGCTGCCCTCGTTTGCCTTCGGAGGCGCCACGCGGCATCGCGATACAGGCGGGCCATTTCACCCCAGACTCCAGGACGCCCTCCCCAGAAATGCGCGAGCCTGTCTTCTTGTGCCCTGTTGCTTCTCCTCGACTTCGGCCTCTGGGCTCCGCGATCGGGCCCCCGGATCCTCCGACACGGATCCGGGACGAAGGACTGCTCCCGTGGACAGGGCTGGAAGCTCTGTGGCCGCGGATAGAAAGATTCACAAAACTGGGCGATGTCAGGATCCCTCTATATCACAGGAAAGCCACTCTGATCCCACGGCGACTCTCCCGCTCGGCCCAAACTCGGGGGCGGCAAAGAGGGGGGCGTCCAAGAGGGGGGGGTGCAAATCATGGCCGGCGGCATGTGCGCGGCCCATCGGGGGGGCCAGGGACGTATTGAAACAAGAAGAGGCGCCATGAGATCTGGGGAAATATCATGGCCCACGCCATGATATCCACCCCCCCCTAGTCATCCCCCCCCTCTTTTCCGCCCCCGACCAAACCCGCTCGACATCGGTCCCTGGGCCCCTCCCGGGATCCATCCTGGCCCGCCTGTCGACGCGGCTCCGGCCGTGGCGGCGAGAAGCCCCCGCAGGAAGCTCCCGAGGGGACGACAGCTGCCAGGGAGGGCCGCCCCTGCTACAGTCCTCCTCCTCCTCCTCCTCCTCCTCCTCCTCTTCCCCTCCTTCCTCCTCTTCCTCCTCTTCCTCCTCTTCCTCCTCTTCCTCCTCTTCCTTCTTCTTCTCCTCTTCCTCCTCTTCCTCCTCTTCCTCCCTCCTTCCTCCTTCCTCCTTCCTCCTTCCTCCTTCCTTCCTCCTCCCTCCTCCCTCCTCCCTCCCTCCCTCCTCCCTCCTCCCTCCTCCCTCCTCCCTCCTCCCTCCTTCCTCCTTCCTCCTTCCTCCTTCCTCCTTCCTCCTTCCTCCTTCCTCCTCCTGCCTCTCCTCCTCCTCCTCCTCCTCCTCCGATGCCAGCGGTCGGGGCGGGCCAGCTCTCGGGCCTCGAGGGCACCGGCGTGCCGCGAGGTCCCCGAGGTGCGGCACGAGAGCCCTCTGGAGCTGCGGACTGCTGCCCAGACGGTCGGGCTTGATCGGGCAGGGCACCCGAGGGGACACAACGACTCTTCCGACGGCCACGTGGCCCCGGCACGCCACAGGGCCTGCGGGCTGCAGAGCTCGGGGTACACACGACACCAAGGTGCCCTCGATTTGGCATGCTCGGCCTCGTGCATGTATCGAGCATGCCAATGACGATTGGCATGCTCGATACACATGACACAAAGGTGCCCTCGTGCAGGATCGACTGAAGGGTTGTCTATGGGTGCTGGCTGGCGTGGGTGGACCCAGGAACTTCACCGCAGCAGTCCCCAGACGGTTCAAGCAGAAATCCTCGACCGCTCCGAGACGGCCCGATGCTGTTGGAAGGTGCTGCCAAGACTGCGCGGGGACTCGATTTTCTGCGTTGCAGATCCGCTGACCCTGCCGTCGTTTGTGAAGGGGATTCTGGGCTTGTCGTCTTCGGAACACTCTTTGGCGTTCTCTTGGGCGCGCCCAGCTCATCTTTTTTGGCGCGTCAAGCTCGTCACCTCGAGGTGAACCGAGCCAGGTCGCAGTCGAAGTCGCAGTTGAGTCGAAAAGGAGCCCCTTCCCTTCGATCCCTTCCCCACCCAGGGAGGGGGGGGGTGTCCCGCGGGGGGGAGGGAGCGGGGGGCGGATCCTGGGGGGGGTCCTGGGAGGGTGGTGTCCCAGAAAGGGGAGTCCCAAGAGGGGGGTCCCAGGGAGGGTCCCGGGTCAGAACGGGGACCCCAATAGGGCCCCAAGTCGGCCCAGAGAGGCCCCCAAGACGGCTTCCGACGGCGTCAGACTGGCCAGGAGTCCACCAAGACTGCCCAAGATGTCTCCAAGATGGCCCAAGAGCCCCCCAAGATGTCTTTAAGAAGGCCCAGGGGGCCCCCAAGAGGGCCCCCAGAAGGCCCGACGAGGCCAACATCATTCATTTGCCATATGTTGTTGAAGGGTTTTGGCATCCGACGGCCCGAGACGGCCCCTAAGATCGCCCTAAGATCGCCCAAGAGGCCTCCAAGATGGCCCCAGAAAAGCCCAAGAGGCTCCCAAGACGGCCCCCAGAGGGCCCCAACACGGCCCAAGAGGCCTCCAAGACGCCCAAGATGGCCTCCAAGACATCCCTGGAGCACCCCCAGAGGGCCCCAAGTCGGCCCAGGACTGCCCTAAGACGGCCAAAGAGGCCCCCGAGAAGCTTCCCAAGACCCCCAAGAGACCCAAGGAGACCCCCGAGATGCCTCCAAGAGGCTCCCAGGAAGCTCCTAGGAGGCCCCAAGAGTGACCCCAGAAGCTCCCAAGATGCTCCCTCCTTTTTCCGCCTCCTCTTGATCTTCCCCGCCATCCTCCCCCAAGCGTTCCCCGAAGGGTTTCCACAACGGTTGGGGGAACACATGGCCCGATACCTTGGCAGAGCTTTGGCCACAACGCTCGGCCACATGGGCGATTCTAGAAGGCGGGGGGCGGCGGTGATTCGCCGTAGGCTTCTTCGATAATCCAAGAGGGGCCCGAAATCGTCCGAGCGCCCCAAGAGAGCGCCAAGAGGGCCCCCGAAGAATTCCAAGTAAACCCTCAACGGCATCGTACCACGAACCTTTGGAGTCACGTCACACTGTTGCGGGCTGTTTCGGCAGCCCTCATGAGGCCGTCTTACGCCCTTCAGAAACCTCTTGGTGCCCTCTAGGGCCACTCTTCAAGCTTTGTGGGACTCCCAGAGTCGGGTCGGGCGAAAGGGGGGGATAGCAAAGGGGGGGTTTGAGAATCAGCTCACGTAGCTGATTTTCCCGGCGCCTCCCGGCGCCGGGAGGCGCCCGTGTATCGAGGAGTGGGCCCCTCGGTGAGGCCGAAACCAGCTGCATGCAGCAAATTTCGTAACCCCCCCTTTCCCAATCCCCCCTTTCGCCCGACCCGACAGAGAGCCCGGCGAGCGCTCCAAGAAGCCTCCAAGAGAGCACCGAGAGAGCTCCAAGAGGGCCACCAGGTCATACCAAGGCACGGTGGCGGGATGGGCCGTGGGCTACATAATCCGCCGCCCCCTGTGGTCTTGCCACAGGGGTGCACGGCGTGCTGGACGTTTCAGGTTTTGGTTTTGGTTCTTTTTCTAAAAGAACTCCCCAGTGGGCTCCGGCCCGTCCCGCCACCGTGCCCAAAAACGGCCGTTTCGCTCGGGACATCCTCAAAAAATCGCGAAGATGGCCCAAGATGGCCTCCAAGTCCGCCCGAGATGGTCCAAGACGGCCTCCAAAACGGCCCAAGAGAGTCCAAGACGGCCCAAGACGGCCCAAGAGGCCCCCCAGAGGCCTCCCAGACGGCCCAAGAGGCCTCCAAGAGGTCCTCCAGGAGAGTCCGAAGAGGCCAAAATCATTGATTTTTCCTTGGTTTTTGAAGGATTTTGGCATTTGCGCCTTTTCGGCTCTCCGACGGCTCAAGACGGCCCAAGAAGCCCCCAAGATCGCCCAAGAGGCCCCCAAGAGAGCCCCATGATGGCCCAAGTGGCCTCCAAGATGGCCCCTAGAGGGCCCCAAGAGGGCCCAAGAGGCCTCCAACACGCCCAAGATGGCCTCCCAGACGCCCAAGATGGCCTCCAAGACGGCCCTGGAGCATTCCAAGCGGGCCCCAAGTCGGCCCATAGAGGCCCCCCAAACGGCTTCCGACGGCTTCAGACGTGCCAGGAACCCACCAAGATGGCCGAAGTTGGCTCGAAGCTGGCCCGAGACGGCCCAAAAAGCCCCAAAGATCGCCCAAAGCTTGCCCAAGAGGCCTCCAAGACGGCCAAGATGACCTTCAAGATGCCCACGTGTTCCCCGAAGGCTTTCCAAACCGATTCGGGGAACACGTGGTCCGATAGCTTGGCAGGTCTGGCCTCAACGTTCGGCCACATAGGCGCTTCCAAAAAGGCAGGGGGCGGCGGTGATTCGCCGTAGGCGTCTTCGATCCGCCCCGCCCCCCCCTGTCGATTCATCGCAAGGGTGCCTGGCGTGCTAGACCCTTTTGGTTTTGGTTTTTGTTCTTTTTCCAAAAAAAGAACTCCCCCTGGGGCTTCGGCACGTCCCGCCGGGCACCCGGAAAGATCTTCCAGACCCGGCTGCAAAGAGTTGTTCCTGCTCCAGACGGCTCCAAGACGGCCCAAGATGGCCGCCAAAATGCATCCAATACGGCCAAGATGGCCTTCAAGACGGGCCAGGAGCCCACCAAGACGGCCAAAGAGGCCCCCGAGAAGCCCCCCAGAGGTCCAAGAGGCTCCCAGGAAGCTCCTACTAGGAGGCCCCAAGAGTGTCCCCAGAGGCTCCACAGATGCCCCCTCCTCCTCCTCCTCCTCCTCCTCCTCCTCCTCCTCCTCCTCCTCCACCTCCTTCTCCGCCTCCCGCCATCTTCCCCCAAGCGTTCCCCGAAGGGCTTCCACAACGGCTGGGGGAACACATGGCCCGATACCTTGGCAGAACTTTTGCCACAACGCTCGGCCACACGGGCGATTCTAGAAGGCGGGGGGCGGCGGTGATTCGCCGTAGGCGTCTTCGATCCAAGAGGGGCCTGCAATCGCCCGAGCGCCCGAAGAGAGCCCCCAGAGGGCTCCATCAGAATTCTCCAAGAAACGACCAAGCTCGACTCCCAGATGGTCAAGGATGGCGCTGCGTTGCCGCCACGATGATCCGAGATGCCCTCAGAGACGGCGAAGATGACCCCGTCTGACCTAAGATGGCCCCACTATACCTCCGAGACGGTACCGGATGGCGGCATGAGGCCGCCATGAAACCTGAGGAGGCTCCCAGAGCCCCGAAAAGGCTCCCAAGAGGTTTCAACCCTCTGTTTCCTCCTCCTCCTCCTGCTCCCCCTCTTCCTCCTCCTCCTCATTGTCCTTCTCGTTCTTCTCCTCCTCCTCCTCCTCCTGCTCCTCCAACTCCAACTCCTCCTCCTCCTCCTCCTCCTCCTCCTCCTCATCATCCTCTTCATCCTTCTCCTCCTCCTCCTCCTCCTCCTCCTCCCCCTCCTGATTCCCCCCCCTCGTGCGAAATCACATCGGCATATAGCTTGGCCAGGCTGTGCTCCTAGTCATGCGCTCCTTGGGAACCTCATGGGGCTTCAAAGGAACTCTTCGGGGCGTCTGGTCCCAACCTTCCCGAACAACTCTGGCTGTCACCGTTATCATGAGGGTCTTCTTCAAGTGTCGGCGGCACGGATCGTACGGCCTTCACTATCTTATTGCGCCAGACAGCTGCCCCTCGGAGCA